TGGTCGGTGGAGGTCGGTGGGTGGTCGGTGGGTGGTCGGTGGAGGTCGGTGGGTGGTCGGTGGAGGTCGGTGGGTGGTCGGTGGAGGTCGGTGGGTGGTCGGTGGAGGTCGGTGGGCGGCCGATTTCGTGAGCAACGCTAAAAAAACGCATTTTTGCTTCAAAAACACAAAAACATTTGAAAAAAATACAAAAAACATGAAAAACGCAGAAAATCATGAAAAAAACCAAAAATATTTAAAATTGCATTGAAACGCTTGAAAAATCACAGAACTATGTGGAAAAACACAGAAAACCGGAAAAAATAAAACAAATATTAAATTTCTTGAAGAAACACAAAAACCATGGAAAACCACAACAAAACATGAAAATATTAAAAAATGTCGCTGAAACGCTTGAAAACGACAAAAAACTATTGAAAACACAAAAAATTGGAAAAACAAGGAAAAACAACAAATTTTCCTTGACACACTTGGGAGCAACACAAAAATTATGGGAAACGCAGAAAAAACGTTAAAGAAAACCAGAAAAAAAACAATTTTCCTTGACACGCCAAACAACACCACAAAAAACAACTGAGAAACACAGCAAAACCACAAAAACAACGCAACAACTAAAACATATTATTTTTAGCTAAAACAATAGAAACCACACAACTACAAGCACACGCCACATTTCTGTGGACAAAAATACAAGAATGCACGAACGCGTAAAACAAAACGCAGTTTGTTCGGAAAAGAACAACAAAACCACAATATTTATAAACATAACAGCTTTTCCTTGAACAACAAAGGAAACAAACAACAAAAAACCAGCAAGATCATAAACCATGGCGTTCCCGGGTTTGCTGGGCTGCTGCTGTTTTTCTTGCAGCGCGGCGGTGTCCATGTAATCCTTGTGGTATCGTTGACAAAGCGCACGCGGACCTGCGGTTGTGGCGCAGAACACGCTGCGCACGCGCCACCCCCCCCCACCACCCCACTTCCACCACCACCATCGCGCACGAACGCGCGCACACGCGCACCCACGCACACGCACACACACACACACGAACGCGCACGAACGCACGCACGCACACACACACACACACGCACACGCACACGCACACACCACACACCACACACCACACACCACACACCACACACCACACACCACACACCACACACACCCACACACACCCACACACACCCACACACACACACACACACACGTACACACACGTACACGTACACACACGGTACACGTACACACACGTACACACGTACACACGTACACACGTACACACGTACACACGTACACACGTACACACGTACACACGTACACACGTACACACGTACACACGTACACACGTACACACGTACACACGTACACACGTACACACGTACACACGTACACACGTACACACGTACACACGTACACACGTACACACGTACACACGTACACACGTACACACGTACACACGTACACACGTACACACGTACACACGTACACACGTACACACGTACACACATACACCCACATACACACATACACACATACACACATACACACATACACACATACACACATACACACATACACACATACACACATACACACATACACACATACACACATACACACATACACACATACACACATACACACATACACACATACACACATACACACATACACACATACACACATACACACACACATACACACATACACACATACACACATACACACATACACACATACACACATACACACATACACACATACACACATACATACACACATACATACATACATACATACATACATACATACATACATACACACACACACACACTCACACACGCACGCACACAGCACGGCACCGCCGCACCACTTTCGGCACACCCCTCACGAGGACCGCGGCCCCATCGGGAGCTCCACCGCAGGCCCCAGTGACAGGGTTCGCACGGCGCCGCGGCGCCAATTTCGGCACCGAGGACCACCCCGCATGTCGATTTCGGCCCACCCCTCACACGTTTCGTGGCCCCATAGGGAGCTCCACCGAAGGCCCAAGTGACTGCGCTCGCATGGCACCACCGCGCCCGTTTCGGCACACCCCTCACACGTCTCGTGGCCCCATAGGGAGCTCCACCGAGGGCCCAGGGCCAGGCGAGCCAGGGGCCCGGCCCGGACTGGAGGGTGGCGCCGCCCTTTCTGACCCTCAGTGCTTCCCTTCTCTGCTGTCTCCTCCTCTTGCTCCTCTCCCACTCGGAAATCATATAGAGGGAGAGTGGGCAAGGGGCGAAAGCCTGAGGCAGAACATCCACTCTGATCGGGAGTAGGGGTTTTACACGCCTCCTCCATAAAACGACTGGGCAAGGGCCAAGGGACGGGCAGTCGGAGGAGAAAGAAGGATGAACACATCTTTTGACGTTTTGGGGTCGCCAGTTTCGTGGTTTCGGCGGCTTCTGGCCCAGAAGGGGCTCAGACTCAGACTAGCGCGTCCCGTCCTGTTGCGGGCTTTACCAGCTCCCCCGGGCACCCCTGGGCACCTGGCCACCGGCCACTAAATCGGCGCCCCACCTCACCGAACCATATGAATCCGCTAGGAGCCCTACAGAGGCAAGCTCTGATTGGGGAATTGCGCCTCCGGGACTGCATTTCACGAGGCTTGTTCGAATCATGACACGGCGCTCGACATCGCTCCTGTTGCTTCGTTGCTGTTATCGTACCTCTTGGTGCTCTTTTGTGGCCTTTTGATGGCATTTTGGCTTGTGTGCAGGCCATATCGGGCCGCCTCGAGGCATCTTGGGCCAAGTTTTGGGGCCGAGGGCCTCTTGGGGGCTTCCTGGGGGCTTCTTGGAGACCTTTTGGGTTCTCTTGGGGGTCCCTCAGGGCCCCTTGGGCTGTTCTTGGGGCAGGCTGGGAGCGTCTTGGGGCCGAAGGCTCGAAACGGTGCCCTTTGGACTCCGTCTTGGAGCTGTCTGGGGACCCTCTTCGGCTGTCTTGGAGGCTTCGTGGGCTGTTGTCGGACCCTCTTCGACCCTTTTTGGGGGCCCATTTGGCCGTCTGGGGGCGATATTGACGGTTTCTTTGCCTGTCTGGGACGTTGTGAAAACCGAATAGGCGAGCATGCGACGATTTTTGTTTCTTGGGACCCTTTTGGGGCGCATCTTGGTGGCTTTTTGGGGCGTCTTGGCAGCTTCGGAGGCCGCCTGGCGGCCATCGTGGGCGTCCAGGGGCGATATTTCGGCGAACCTGGCGCGTTCGCTTCGGGGTCGGGCTCGGCCTGGGGGGGGGGGGAAATTAACAGTGGTTTGGAGGCGTGTACTCCTGTCTCTGGTGGCCTTTCGGAAAGATGTCCGACACTTCGGACAGCGTGTGCGTCACTCTGGATCTCGAGACCCTGTACAGGTGCCTGGACTGTGCAATTTGTCATGGCCGTCGGTACAAACCGGCCTGGTTGGGTTCAGAATCTCAGGGGTGCTTCGCGGGGTCTCTTCGGAGCGTTCTGGAGGCGGGGGCCATGTCGAATGGTGGGCAAAGTCAAATTGTGGGGGGATGCTGCGTGGTCAGTGCGATTTTTCGTGGCTGACTTTCGAAGTGTTCGCTGTGCAGGCATGGGAAAATACATGCGAACATCCGCGCTCATAGAGGGCAGGCGTCGGTCAAACAATTGGACGAGTGGTTCTCGAATGGCACGCGGCGCATCCCGCCACCTTTGTTGGGTTGCGGGTATGCGGCCATACGGATGCGGATGATGATGGTGGTGTTGAAAACGATAATCGTAATTATGGTGATGCCTAGAGTGATGTTGCTGTCGATGGACGACGGCGATGCTGATTTCGATGATGCTGATGATGATGTTGCGGCGGTGCTCGTGATGAGGCTGGTGATGATGATGATGACGACGGTGATGGTGACGGTGATGTTGATGCTGATGGTGATTCTGACGATGATGACGCTGGTGATGATGGTGGTGATGGTGCTCATGATGATGATGATGATGATGAAGCTGTCGATGCTGAGGATGAAAGTGATGACGATGACGATGATGACGACGATGCTGCTGCTGTTGATGCTGCTGCTGCTTGTGGCGATAATGGCGATAACGCGTAATGATGGTGATGACGATGACGATGACGATGCTGAATGTGATGACGATGATGATGGTGATCCTGATGATGTCGGCGATGCTACTGCTGATATTGATTATGGTGTTGATTTTTTCAGTGTTAGTCGTCGTGTTACCACCACGGCGATGTTAATGAGGATTCTGCTGCTGCTGATGATGCTGCTGATGGTGAAGATGTGGATGATGTTGATGATGATGGCGATGATGTTGCTTATCTTGGCGACGATGATACTGCTGATGATGGTGATGGAGATGGTGATGGTGATGCTGTTGCTGCTGATGCTGATGACGATGCTGCTGCTGCTGATGAGGATGAGGCTGATGAAGATGATGCTGCTGCTGCTGCTAAAAATGATGATGACGTTGATGATGCTGCTGTGGATGAAGATGAGGCTACTGCTGATGATGATGATGATGATGCTGCTGATGATGATGATGATGATGATGATGATGTTGATGGAGGGAATGAGGGGGACGAGGAGGATGAGGAGGAGCTGAGGAAGGATACGGATGATGAGGATGAAGAGGAGGAGGTTGAGGACAAGTAGGAGGAGGAGGTGGATGGGGAGGAGGAGGAGGAACATAATGAGGAGGAAAGGCAATGGAAGAGGAGGAGGAGGAGGACGAGGAGGAGGAGGAGGAAGAGGAAACACTGGAGCGGGTGGAGGAGGAGGAGGAGGAGGAGGAGAAGGAGGAGGAGGAGGAGGAGTAAGAAGAGGAGGAGGAGGACGATGAGGAGGAGGATGAGGTGGAGGAGGATTGCGTAGGTTGAGGAGGAACGGACGAGGGCCACGCACCGCGGCCATGGCCCGTCGGCGGCCACGATGGACGGCGGCGGTAAGTGCCGCGGCGGCCGTTGCGGCGGCGTCGACGGCGACTCCGCAGGCCAGGCCAAGTTGCCGCTCCGTCGAGGACCAGGCCTCCGCGGCCGCGGCCGCGCAGCGGCGGCGGCTGTGAGGGGCGCTCCTTTTGCGCGGGGGGCGGCTGGTTGCTGGCTGGTCACCGACTGGCCATTGGCTGGCCATTGGGTGGTCGCTGGCTGCATGGTCAGTGGCTGTCGAAGGATGGGGTTGAGGCAGAACGGAGTATGGGGGAGAGGCAGGGGGGACTCGTTGGCGATGGTGTTGTTGTTGGTGGTGGTGGTGGTGGTGTTGGTGGCGGCGAACGTTATGGTAATGATAATGGTGCCGGCGCGGATGATGATAGTGACGCTGAGATCATGGTGTTGATGTTGGTTATGGTGATGATGATCTTGATGATTGAGCTGTTGATGCCGACGATGCTGATGATCATGATGCTGATGCTTTTGATGGTAATGCCGATGAAGTTGTTGTTGCTGATGTTTATGATGCTGCTGTTGATGATGATGCTGATAATGCTAGTGATGCTGCTGATAAGAATGATAATGATGATGACGACTACTGGGTGGGGCAGACGCATGCGGGCTGCGCCACTGGGACCTTAGGGCAACGAAGCGCTGTACTGGGTGTGGGAGACGCATGATACTGATGCTGATGCTGATGCTGATGATGATGGTGATGATGATGATGATGATGATGATGATGATGATGGCGATGATAATGATGATACTGATGCTGGTGATGATGATGCTGATATTATGATGCTGAACATGATGCTGATACTGCTGATGATGTTGCGGATTACGACATTGATTATGCTGATGATGCTGGTGATGATGACGCTGATGCTGATGCTGATATACAAATATATGATGATGCTGATGCTGATGATGGTGCTGCTAACCATGACGATGATGATGGCTTTGCTGACTATGACCATGATTTTGGTGCTGCTTGTGATGATTTTGGTGGTGCTGCTGATGCGTACCAGCATGCTGATGATGGTGATGATGATGAGAGCGATGCTGATGATGATGGTGCTGATGCTGATGCTGACGATGATGATGCTGATGATGCTGATGATGCTTATGATGTTGATGATGACGATGATTCTGCTGCTGATGATAATGCTGATGACGATGACAATGGTGATGCTGATGAAGATGCCGATGATTTTCATGCTGATGCTGATGCTGCTGCTGTCGATGATGATGATGCTGATGATGCTGATGCTGACGATGATGCTGATGATGACGATGATGCTGCTGATGCTGATGATGCTGCTGATGATGATGATGCTGATGATGATGCTGCTGATGATGATACTGGGGAGGAGGGGGAGAAGGATGAAGTGTAGGAGGACGAGCAGGATGAGATGCAGCGGATGGTGATGATGATGTTGATGATGATGCTGATGGTGATGACGATGCTGGTGGTGATGATGCTGCTGATGATGATGTTGCTGACCTGATGAGGATGCTGATGCTGATGCTAATGATGACGATGCTGATGCTGATGACGATGATGATGATGCTGATGATACTGATTCTGATGATGACGATGCTACTGATGCTGATGCTGATGATAACGATGTTGCTTATGATGATGATGATGATGATGATGATGATGATGATGATGATGATGATGATGATGATGATGATGATGATGACTGTGATGATGATGATGATGATGATGATGATGGTGGTGGTGGTGGTGATGGTGATGATGGGGTTGCGGATTATAATGATGATAACGATTCTGAGGATGATGCTGTTGTTGATGATGCTGATGACGATGATGATCATGCTGATTCTGATAATGATAATGGTGGTGGTGATGATGATTATGGGGAGGAGGAGGATGAGGAGGAGGGGAAGATGGAGGCTGAGGAGGGTGATGCTGGAGGCTGAGGTGGAGGTGGAGGCTGCGGAGGCGGAGGTTGCGGAGGCTGAGGAGCAATGGGGGAAGGAGCAGGAATAATACGAGATGGAGGATGATGAGGAAGAGGACGATGCTGATGATGATGAGGAGGAGGAGGGGGACGAGGAGGAGGAGGAGGAGGAGGAGGACGAGGAGGAGGAGGACGAGGAGGAGGCTGGAGGAGGGAGGGTCATAGGAACCGTATATTTTTGTTTGTTGGCATTTTGTGGTCCTTTGGGGGTGGGTTTCGTCGCCACGGCAGGATTCGCTTCAAAATCCCGTTCAGAATGTGTTCTAGGACAGGTTCGGGCCATTGTTGGGCCTCCGGGTGGGCTTTGCCGCACGGGGAGCCGATCAGGGTTGCGAAACCGTCCCTGGGCCAGGGATGGATCGCGCAGAGAATTAGGCCCAGGGAAGCCGACACCGCAGGCATCTTGAGACTCGCGCTCCTCTTCGCCCTCCTCGTTCGAGGATGGAGTTTTTGAGGTTTGGGAGGGTTGAGGTTTTCCAACTTTTCGAGCGTTCTATTGACCTCCAGCGGCCCCCAGGGGGCTCCTTTGTTGTGCCTCTGGAGGCATTTGAGACCTCCAGGGACTCGTCCTTCTCCTCCCCCTCTTCCTCCTTCCCTTTCTTGCGTTGGACACGCGTTGGCTGGCGTGAACGATTGCGTCTTTATGGTTGCCATCCTGGAAAATAGAGCTCGTAACCCCCGTGAACATTTTCAAATGTTTGTGTCCAGTGCGTGCACGAAAATGTAAGGGCGGACAGCATTGGACAGGAAGAGAGGCCCGCTAGGGCACAGAGGCGTGCACAACGGCAAGGATATCCCAGAACCTCCCACGCAGCATTTCTCTCCTCCTGCCCCTCCCTTCCTCCCGTTCCTGCTCCTCCTCCTCCTCCTCCTTTACCTCCTTCCCCTCCCCTTCCTCCCTCTCCCCCTCTGGCGAGCGCGGGTTTCACTCCCCACCTGTGGTCTCGGCCTCCCCGGCAAGAAGGTGTGCACGCCGTATCCAGCCGCCTGCGGCAGGTCCCGCCACCGTGCCAGCCCAGCATGTTGGGTGGCGACTGTCCGAAGATCGGAGAGCCGTGTTGATGATGATGATGATGATGATGATGATGATGATGATGATGAGGAGGAGGAGGATGATGATGATGATGACGATGGTGATGATGATGATGATGATGATGATAATAATGGTGATGCTGCTGATGATGGTGTTGCTGCTGACGGCGACGACGAAGCTGACGCTGACGCTGCTGCTGACGACGATGATGACACTGATGCTGATGCTGATGATGATGATGATGATGCTGCTGACGATGCTGATGCTGATGCAGACGCTGCTGCTGGTGATGATGATGATACTTCTGCTGATGATAATGCTGAAGCTGATGATGCTGATGATGATGCTTTTCACGACGACAACGATGCGGATGATAATGTTGATGATGATGATCATCATAATAAGGATTACGCGGATGAGGATACTGTTGATGATGCTGATGCTGACGACGATGGTGATGATGATGATGATGATGATCTTGATGATGCTGATGATGCTGACCGTGGTGGTGGTGTTATGATAATTTTGATGACGGGGATTGGGATGATGACTGTCATGATGATGCTGATGGTGATGCTGCTGATGATGCTGATGACGATGCTGATGATGATGACGACCACGACGATGATGATGGTGATGCCGATTGTGATGTTGTTGATGATGCAGACGAGGATGCTGATGCTGATGATGATGATTCTGGCGATGGTGATGGTGACGAAGATGATGATGATTATAAGGATTCTGAGTCTGATGGTGATGATGATGATGAGGAGGATGATATTGCTGATGCTGTTGATGATGATGATGATGATGATGATGTTTCGGATGACGTTGACGACGAAGATGCGGATGCTGATAATGATGGTGGTGGCGGTTGAGGTGTTGGTGATAATGACATTGTCTGTTACAATGATGGTGGCGACGACGTCGACGACGCTGATGATGACGATGATGGTGATGATGATGATGCTGCTGCTGATGCTACTGCTGATGACGATGATGCTGATGATGCTGTTGATTAGGATACTGACGATGTTGAGGATGACGACGATGATGTTTATGCGGTTGCTGAAAGTGATGATGATGCTTATTATTATGATGGTGACCTGCTGCTGATGATCATGATGACTATGATGATGATGATGATGCTGATGAGGGTGATTCTGATGATCATGATGAGGCCGAGAGTGAGGATGAGGATGCTGATGATGATGGTGATGCTGATGCTGATGATGATGGCAATGACGATGATGATGCTGATGATGCTGCTGATGATGATGAGCCTGATGATGATGATGATGATGATGACGATGATGATGATGATGATGATGATGATGATGATGATGATGCTGATGCTGATGCTGATGCTGCTGCTGCTGATGCTGATGCTGATGCTGATGCTGCTGATGATGATGATGCTGCTGCTGATGATGATGATGATGATGATGATGATGATGACGATGATGATGATGATGATGATGATGATGATGATGATGATGCTGATGCTGCTGATGATGCTGATGCTGATGCTGATGCTGATGATGATGATGATGATGATGCTGCTGATGATGATGCTGATGATGATGCTGATGCTGATGATGATGATGATGATGATGATGATGATGATGCTGCTGATGCTGATGCTGATGCTGATGATGATGATGATGATGATGATGATGATGATGATGATGATGATGATGATGATGATGATGATGATGATGACAATGGCGATGCTGATGATGCTGATTATGAGGAGGAGGTGGAGGAGGAGGAGGAGGAGGAGGGGGCGGAGGAGGAGGAGGTGGAGGAAGAGGAGGGGGAGGAGTAGTGGGAATACTAACAGGAGCAGGAGGAGGAGGAGGAACAGGAGGAAGAGGAGGACGAGTAGGAGGAAGGCCGTCACACGTGACGCCTTTCGTCTTCACTGTTTGAGAAGCTCTCATGGAACTCGATTGGGCCGTCAGGGGGCTGCGTGGACCTCATGTGAGGCAGTCTTGGGTGTCTCTTGGGGACCTCTTGGGCTGTCTCGGCCCTCTTTCGCCGTCTTGGGGTTCTCTCGGACCGTCTTGGGGCACTTTTTGCTGTATGGTGGATTTCTGGGGGCCGCCGTGGCACCGTCTTGGGCCGTCGAATGGTTTTCGAAGCCCGTCTTGAGTCTCTCGTACGGTTCTCTTGAGCAGTCTTGGGTGCGTTTGGATGCCTTTTGGGCCATCGTGGGTCTTTCTGGGTCATCTTGGGCCATCTTGGGACTCTCTCTTTGGGGCCGCTTAGGCCGTCTTGGGGCCATCGTGGAGGTTTCTTCGATTTTTGAAGGGAGGTCAAAGCCGAGATAAGGGCGACGCGCCTGCGTCCCGACGCTGCTTGGGCTCAAGCGACGTCGCTCTATATGAATGCTCCATACGTTGGGCACTATAGCATCCGAGTTACGGAAAAGGGAGACGTCCATTTCCTTCGACGATGTACCCTCTACTCCCATGTTTTCTCTCTCTCTCTCTCTCTCGTCTACCCGCTTATACCTATTGCATGGATAAGTCATGCGGTACTATGGTACACTCAAAGCGTAGTATGTAGTGCGGCTTACCATAGTACTTTCGACTGTTGGGCCGTCCTGAGCTGACGGGTGCCCGACAAGGCGGGCATGCGGAAGTCGTCCAAACGCCACATTGAAGTCCATGATTTTGGCTTCTTCGGACACTGTCGGAGGTCTCCCTGCAGCCTTTTTTCGGCATCCCCAGAACATACTTATACTATGTGTTCGTCGCCCCCCCAGGGGCGACGCGCGCACCGAGAAATCTTGTAGTATATGCGTCGTGGCGGGCGCTTTCTGGCCACACCGCTCGAGAAACGATATACTACAAGATGGGTATACTATATGTTCGGGTCGGACGCGCGCCTCCAAGGCGGGCATATAGTATTAGTATGTCTCTGTGCGCCCAATTTTGTGACCCTGTTGGAGGTATCTTGGGCCGTTTTGAGGCCACAATGGGCCGCCCTGTGGCCCTTTTGGGCCGTCGTCGAGGCCTCTTGGGCCATCTTGGTGTCCTCGGTGGCCTGCGCGGGCCGTCGTGGGAGCTCGGGGCGGGAACCCGCTGTTTTTGAGCGAGGGATCGTGGCTTCGGGGGCGCGTGTCCATGGCTTTTCTATGGGGGAGGAGGAGGAGGAGGAGGAGGAGGAGGAGGAGGAGGAGGAGGAGGAGGAGGAGGAGGAGGAGGAGGAGGAGGATCCTGGCTTTGGGAGGGGGGGTGGCAGGGCGGTGCGAGTAGGGGGGAGGGTGCCCCTGGTTCAAAATGCAGAGACCCTGCCGGCCAGCTTGTGGCAGTCTTCCACGCTGCAACGTGTAGAAGGCACGGTGGGTGATATTCGTCTTGTCGCAGCGCTGTCTGCCGGCTGTGTCTTCCAGTTGTCGCGGGCGTGCGCGACGTCCCCAGGCTTCTGGCGACCCCTACGTCGGAGGCCTGGGTTGCTTGCCTTAGGAATCGTTTTCAATGGCGCGTACGCGCTCGGGCGCCGATTTGGCATTAGGCAATTCGATAATTCACGCCTCGGCATTCAGGCCGTCCCTGCGTGCTGCTCGGTCTCCCCGCCCAGAATCCCGCGAGCTGCGGCCCAGCCTCGAGCGATCACCATCACCTGCCCGGGGGTGCACCGCAGCTGGGCTGCTTTCGGGGGCGGCCAGGAGGGGGGTGATGATTTAGGGAGGTGAATCTCATGGCGTGGGCCATGACATTTCCCCAGATTTTATGGCGCCTCTTCCAATTTCAGTGTGTCCCCAGCCCCCCCCCCTGGGCCTCGCACGTGCCGCCAGCAATGACTTGCTCCCCCCCCTCTTGCACGCGCCCCTCTTGGCCGCCCCCGATGCTTGCCAGGCTCGGCGTGTGCTGGGCCCCCACGTGTGCGAGGCAGCCGGGCAGTTGGGCCACCGCCCTGCCGGACACCTCGCTCTCCCATGATGCCCCCCGCTCGGTGCGGTTCTCCGGGGCAACGTCAGGAGGAGGAGGAGGAGGAGGAGGAGGAGGAGGAGGAGGAGGAGGAGGAGGAGGAGGGGGGGGGAGAGAGGGGAGGAGGCAGGAGGAGGGAGGAGGAGGAGGATGGTGAGGAGGAGGAGGAGGAGGAGGAGGAGAGGAGAGATGATGATGATGATGATGATGATGATGATGATGATGATGATGATGATGATGATGATGATGATGATGATGATGATGATGATGATGATGATGATGATGCTGATGCTGATGCTGATGATGATGATGATGATGATGATGATGATGATGATGATGATGATGATGATGATGATGATGATGATGATGATGATGGTGGTGGTGGTGGTGGTGGATGATGATGATGATGATGATGATGATGATGATGATGATGATGATGATGATGATGATGATGATGATGATGATGATGATGATGATGATGATGCTGATGCTGATGCTGATGCTGATGATGATGATGATGATGATGATGATGAGGAGGAGGAGGAGGAGGAGGAGTATCACACCAGCTCACGGGGGATGGCTCAGGAGAGGATGCATCGACCCCGAATCTCCCATTGATCGCCGATAGGGGTCTGATAGGCACCCATGACCTCGCAGATCTGCTGTCAAGGCCCATCGACGATCTATCGGCGATGTGCCGCCGATTCTAGGTCGATGCTCCCACCCTGAGCTAGTCCCCCCCCCACATCGTTGCCCCTCAGGTTCGGGTCGGCGAGCGCCCGGCTTGGTCCGGACGGTTCGGGCCAGCTTGCGGTCGGGTCTGGCTGTGATCGGGCGGGGCTGAGACGAGGGAATCGTTCTGGAGCGTTCCAGAACGCTCGCGGAGCATTCCAGAGCGCTCTGAGAGGGCCACGGCGCCCGATGCATTCTCCAGAACCGATGGATCTCAGAGGTCCCCGATCCACTCGGCGTCACCCAACCATACAAGAGTACCGTAAGTGTGCGCCGCCCGCGGTGGGCGCTTTCTGGCCGTACCGCTGAGGAAGCGATGTGCTACAAGACGGCCGTATGCTCGATTCGGATGCACGTCTCCGAGGAGGTCAGCTGCTTTCTCAGTTCTGCGCATCCAGCCCTGTCTCCTACCTCGCCTTTTTGGGCCGCGAGTCGCCACTTTCCCTGGGCTCCTGGGAGGTCCAGCGGAGTGGAGCCCCCACGCGCACCTGGAAACGAGACCTCGCCCTCCTCCCTGGGGGCCGCGAGTTGCGGAGCAGGAGTCGCTTGTCGTGTGCTGCCGGGAGGCCCTGCGGAGGGGTGTCCCACGCGGACCCGAACGTGACCTCGCCCTGCCTGGGGGCTGCGAACCGTGCTCTCGACGCCATTCTCGTGGGCACCTGGGAGGTCCTGCGGAGTCGTGGCCTTCGTAGGCCGAGTCGCGAAAGGGTCACATGTCCTTCAGAGTAGTGTCCCACGTGGACCCAAACAACCCTGCCTGGGGGTGCTGAGCCGTGCACTTTTCCACTTTCGTGGACTCCTACGACCTAGAAGGTCCAGCGAAGCGGTGTCTCACGCGGACTCAAATGAGACCTCGCTTTGCCTGGGCGCTGCGAAAAGTGCACCTGTCGCCAGTTTTCCTGTTCTCCTGGGAGGTCCATCGGAGCCCCACGCAGACCCACACGAGACCTTGCCCTGTCTCAGGGATGCGAATGGCAAACCAGTTGGCATTTCCGTGGGCTCCTGGGAGGAATGGTGGTGAGGAGAGGTGCCTTTCGCGGCCCCGAACGAGACCTCGCCCTGCCTGGGGGATGCAAGCTGTACGCTTGTCGCCACTTTCGTGGGCTCCTGGGAGGTCCGGCGGAGTCGTGCCCTGCGCAGACCCAAACGAGACCTCTCCCTTCCTGGATGCTGCGGATGGCGAAAGAGTCACCAATTTCGTTCGCTGCGGGGAGGTCCAGCGAAGTGGTGCCCCGCTTCGCCTGGGGGCTGCGAATGGCAGAGCACTGGGCCTTTCCGTGGGCTCCTGCGAGGTCTGCGGAGTGGTGTCTTGCGCGGGCCCCCACGAGACCTTTTGCCCTGCCTGGGGGCTGCGAGCCGTACAGTTGTCGTCACTTCCGTGGGCTCCTGGGAGGTCCCGCGGAGTGGTGCTCCACGCGGGCCCGAGAGAGACCTCGCCCTGCCCGGGGGATGCGAAGTGCGGAACAGCGTTGGGCGTTGCGTAATGGGGGGGTCATACATGGGGGGGTGGCGAGGGTGGTTCGAAAAGGTACCCAAACGGTACCTAAACGAGCCCCCTGGGGCTCTGGAGGGGCCCGAAAGGGGCACGAAAGGGGACCTTTTCTGACCCCCCCATTTGTGACCCCCCCATTAAGCAACGCCCAAAGCAGTCGCTTTCATGTGCTGCTGGGATGCCCTGCGGGGGCTGGCGCAAACGAGGCCTCGCCCTGTCCGGGGGTTCCGAGCCGTGCGCTCGCCGCCACTGCCGTGTGGGCTCCTGTGAGGCCCAGCGCCGCTGGCCTTCCCTCGATCGCTGAATGCGATGCGATAGCAGCGGCTTGCGCTTAGGATTGGCCCACCTTCATGAAGTCGCGCACCACATGCCACTCTTGCCAAGGGTCACCCTTGCGTGTAGCTGAGACGGTCCCGGATCCTGGAACTGAGCTAGGCTGAACATGCTTGTTTTGCGCATTTGGAACGGAAAACCGATACTTGACATCCCGCCTCGGACTTGGGTTGAAGAAGGGTCAGTCAGAGTTGACCAACCACAGAATCTAGCCATGGCGACAAGGATGCGGCCCACCCACCCCCCAGGAACCGCTTTTGCGGGAGGATGAGGATCTTGCCCTGTTTATTCGGCAAGATTCGTGCAGGGCGCTGTTGTACACCCTGACGCGGCCGCTGTGGCCCGCTTCCGACTCCGTGCCGATGCGGTCCTCCTCCTCCTCCTCCTCCTCCTCCTCTTCGATGCTGACCGGTACTGGCTTGTCAACCTGCACGCCCGCTCGTCCAGCGCGACGCCCCCCTCTTGCGGCCGAGGTCGTGCCCCGCTCTCCCCGGGCCTCCTCCTTCGCTCGTTATTGAGGGCTTGACGGCTGCTGCCGTCCCTCGACTCGGCGCTGTAGCCGCCACGCCCTGCTCCAGATTCCCTGGAGATTTCGAGGCACCTGGACTTGCTTTCCGAGACGGGAATTTATACATGACCACCGCCTGGAGTATCAATTTTCGGGGACCTCGGCAGGCGGTTGATATGGACATATTTTGGTCCCCTGGGGCCAAGATACATCCATATCCGCCGCCCGCTGGGGCACCAGGACGTCGGTCCCCAGGCGGTGGACATGGATAAATTCCTGCCTCGCTTGTTTTGATTCATTTGCACTTGCCTTGGCTTTCCCGGCCTGGCACCCACGGGTCGATCGGCGAAAAATCGTCAAGCCCTCATGGATCCGCTCAGGCTGCCGTCGGGGCGACTGGCGGGCAGTTGCATGCAGGCTTGGCGCGCCGTGACCGCAAAAGCTGCGCCCGCTGTCCGAGCGCCTCCTCTCCCTGTTGTTCCTCTTCGTCTGCCACCGTTCCAGAGGACGTCAGGCACGTCGTCGGCGTTTTTTTCTCGATGTCAAGGCTGAAAGTTTTCCCAACCATCCTGTGGTGTTGGGTCCTCGTTTTGAAGAGACAGCGCCGCGCGTCTCCTCATCCCGCTGCCCCCCCTCCTTCCTCGTCGTCCTTGCTTTTGCTCTCCGCATGTCTCTGTTTCGGCACACCCCTCGCACGTTTCGTGGTCCCATAGGGAGCTCCACCTAAGGTCCCAGTGGCGGAACTCGCATGGCGGCCTCGCCCCATTTTGGCACACCCTCACACGTCTCGTGGCTCCATAGGGGGCCCCACTTAAGGTCCCAGTGGCGGAACTCGCATGGCGGCCTCGGGCCATTTCGGCACACCCCTCACGAGGATCGTGGCCCCATAGGAGCTCCACCGAAGGCGCCAGTGACAGGGTTTGCATGGCGGCCTCGGGCCATTTCGGCACACCCCTCATGAGGATCGTGGCCCCATAGGAGCTCCACCGAGGGCGCCAGTGGCAGGGTTCGCATGGCGGCCTCGGGCCATTTCGGCACACCCCTCACGAGGATCGTGGCCCCATAGGGAGCTCCAGTTGCAGGGTTCGCATGGTGGCCTCGGGCCATTTCGGCACAACCTTCAGGAGGATCATGGCCCCATAGGGAGCTCCACCGAAGGCGCCAGTGGCAGGGTTCGCATGGCGGCCTTGGGCCATTTCGGCACACCCCTCACGAGGATCGTGGCCCCATGGGAGCTCCACCGAAGGCGCCAGTGCCAAGGTTCGCATGGCGGCCTCGGGCCATTCCGGCACACCCCTCATGAGTGGCCCCATAGGTGTGCTGCTTCAATAACCGCGCCTGGGCGTCGTACTCCGCCTTGTCGACGTGCAACGCCACCCCTCCTCCTTCATGGCTCTCAGAGCCCTCTCCTGCTTCTGCTCCTCGGTCAGAGGGATGCCGTCTTCGTCGTCGTCCGGGCTCTGGCGGGAAGACAGCCACGAAAGTTTCCCTGAGCATGTCGGGCTCTGGCGGAAAGCCGTGGCCACATAGGGAGCGCGCGGTTTTCACAGCTGAGTATGGTTTGGGTCCTTCGCCAGGCTTATTTTTCAGTTTTGAAGCAAGTTTGGTTGTTCCTTCCGTTCCTGGATTCTCGTTCGCGCCCGTTTTGGTTCGATCCTGTTTTGAACTGTTTGATTCCCAACAATCCTGTGGTGTTGAGTCCTCGTTTTGAAGAGACAGCGCCCCGCGTTCCTCTCCTCTCCTTCCGCCCGCTGCCCCTCCTGTGCCCTCCGCATGTCTCTGTTTCGGCACACCCAGCACAGCGTTTCGTGACCCCATAGGGAGCTCCACCGAAGGCGCCAGTGGCAGGGTTCGCATGGCGGCGTCGGGCCATTTCGGCACACCCCTCACGAGGATCGTGGCCCCATAGGAGCTCTACCGAAGGACCCAAATTGCAAGGTTCGCATGGCGGCCTCGGGCCATTTCGGCACACCCTTCACGAGAATCGTGACCCCAAAGCGAGCTCCACCGAAGGCCCCAGTGGCAGGATTCGCATGGCGGCCACGGGCCATTTCGGAACACCTTTCACGAGAATCGTGGCCCCATAGGAACTCCACCGAAGGCGCCAGTGGCAGGGTTCGCATGGCGGCCTCGGGCCATTTCGGTACACCCCTCACGAGGATCGTGGCCCCATAGGGAGCTCCCCCGGAGGCCTCAGTGGCAGGGTTCGCATGGCGGCCTCGGGCCATTTCGGCCCGCCCCTCACGAAGATCGTGCCTCATAGGAGCTCCACCGAAAGCGCCAGTAGCAGGGTTCGCATGGCGGCCTCGGGCCATTTCGGCACACCCCTCACGAGGATCGTGGCCTCATAGGGAGCTCCACCGAAGGCGCCAGTGGCAGGGTTCGCATGGCGGAGCTCCACCGAAGGCGCCAGTGGCAGGGTTCGCATGGCGGCCTCGGGCCATGTCGGCACACCCCTCACGAGGTTCGTGGCTCCATAGGGAGCTCCACCGAAGGCGCCAGTGGCAGGGTTCGCATGGTGGCCTCGGGCCATTTCGGCACACCCTTCAGGAGGATCATGGCCCCATAGGAGCTCCACCGAAGGCGCCGGGTGCAAGGTTCGCATGGTGGCCTCGGGCCATTTCGGCATACCCCTCACGAGGATCTTGGCCCCATAGTTGTAGGAGCTTCACCCAAGGCGCCAGTGGCAGGGTTCGCATGGCGGCCTCGGGCCATTTCGGCACACCCCTCACGAGGATCGTGGCCTGGGCGTCGTGTTCCGCCTTGTCGACGTGCAACGCCACCTCCTCCGTCACGGCTCTCAGAGCCCTCTCCTGCTTCTGCTCCTCGGTCAGAGGGATGCCGTCTTCGTCGTCGTCGTCCGGGCTCTGGCGGGAAGCCGTGGCCACATAGGGAGCGCGGGCGAAGATGGTGTTCGCAATTGCGGTAGTCACAACTGCATATGGTTGGGTCCTTCGCCGGGCTAATTTTTGCTTGTTGGTTTATTGTTATGCGTTCTGGGGAGCGGTTCTTGGTTTTATGCGTTTTGGTTTTCCGAATCTCGAAAAGTTGAGAACAGGTAGCATCTATTCAGGCCACTTTTTCCGCGTGTCTCTTCATTTTTATACTGCTCTTGGACGGCCCGCGTTGGTGTCAGCGATGACGTGGTCATCGGGCCTGATGTCGCTTTGGTGATTTTCCTGCTCTGTCTGGCGTGATCTTCCTATATCTGGTTCTGTCTGGGACTCCAGCTCAGTGGGGGACCCAACATGGCTTGATTCAGGCTAATAGCTCCGCAATCTGACGTGCCCGTCGGTCGTAGAACCTGTGTATCTTTATGCCCAAGGCCCATTCTACTTTGGGCGCCTTCCTGCTTTAAGAGTCGAGTGGTGTTCCCTGCTCCCTCCTCTTCAAGGGGCGGGCGGAAGCCCAATCTACTTTCAACGCCTTCCGACCCCATGCTTCCACACACTTGTTCCGACCGGCGGGTCGCCTCTTCCCTTGGGTTCTCCGGAGACCCCCCAGGGGCTGCCGCCGAGCCCACGGGGCTCCTCCTCTTGGGCTCCCTTCCCTTCCCTTCCCCCTTTGCGCCCCTTCCCCGCCTTGGGCCCCCCCCCCCCCTTTTTGGGCCGCCTGTGATCCGACTCGATGATCGATTCGATTCGCCGGCGTGGGCCGCGATGCCGACCCGATTCGGTGACGCCTGATTCTCAGGAGGAGAAAAAACACACAGACACAATTATTCGTCGAATCCCAGAAAATATGCGAAAATATGGGAAGTGGGGGGGAAGACAGAAACCCAGAAAATATGGGAAAATATGGGGAATCTTTTTATTTGTGTGTATTTATTTGTGTGTCCCAGGGCCCCTTCAGATTCCTCGTGGCCAGCAGGAGTCAGGCGCGGCGACCCCGATTTCGCTTCGATCTGGGACGATTCGCTGGCGCTGCGATCCGCTTCCGATCTCATCCGGCTTCGCAATCCGATCCATCTCAGCTCTCACGAGCGGAGTTTTCGACCTCGACCAACCCGCTTGGCGACTGCAAAGGGACTGCCTACGCAAGGGGTGTGGCTTGCGATCTGCGTCGTGGGGGCTCTCGGGGGCACCGCGCTGCTCTCGTCGGGCCTCGCCGGGGCGCGGCGGAGAATTCTGCTGAGATCCTCGCCGGCCCCCGAAGGCGCGGAATGCAAACCGCACCCCCTGCAGACCGCACTCTTCCCAGACCCCCGACGGCATGAATTTTTCATGACGTCGACACCCAGCGGTCTGGACCTCTACCCCAGGACCGGCTTTTCATCCTAAGCCACTTTTTGAGGGTCCCGAGGGCCAGTAAGGGCCCCTGGAGGCCGAAAATATAGAAAAACCTCCCGTCGTGATTTTTTCATGACCCGAGGGGGTCTGTGCCCCTTGCAGACCGCACCCGTCGGAGCCGCCGGCCCGCGGCGCCCTTCGGGCCGGCTTGCTCCGCGATAGTGCTAGGGGAACAAACAATGACATGAACATAAGAACTCGGAGGTCCGCGCGGATTTCTCGGATCGGCGCTGGGGCCCCTCGGCATCCCTCATCCGTCCCAGCGGCTGTGAGGATGTCGCTGTGAACATGTAGTAGTGCTTGTAGAACACGTCCCCTCGTCTGCTTGCCAGCTGTGGGCCCGCTCTCCGGTTCCTCAGTGGGGCCGTACCTTCACCGTACCTTTGTCGGGGGAAGTGCGAAGGCAAGTATAGGTAATTTGAGGAAGATTGACAATTGGTACGCTTGACCCTTGCGGAGCACCAAGGGCAGTCTTTGAGTAAGGCTAAGGAGAAAACTCCAAGGCATGGTAACTTATGTTCAGGTCGCCGAGTGAGTTGTAGGCGAGCGCATTCAAACCGTTGGCCTGTATTCTTGAATATCATGCCAAATCAACACGTAGTCTTGGGCATACTGGCCTTGCCCTGAACGAGTGGCGCCAGCAGATGGGGGGGGGTAGATGCAGCAGCGTGGGGCGTGCGCAAGGATCCTCCTCCT